CGGGCTTAGTAGGACCAAAGCTCTACTCTGGCACTTGGAGACCTGGGCATGAGCGGCGAGCGCTCGTTAAACAACTCGTCTAGCCCAATGACCGGTATTGTCCGGCAGGTCTACTGAGTTCAGTGTAGAGGGTCTGAACTCCGAGCTGTGGGCTGAAACGAGGGTCGTCTTTAAGTATTGAGGCCTGGTTGAGCCACTCCCCTACCAGTCCTTGTAAGGCTGATGATCTGTGTCTGACGACTCGACTGTCCCGAGGGATACGAACCCTCCAAGGACCGGTACAGACCGGCGGGCTGCTCGGTGTGGCACAGTAGGCTGGACGGGCTGAGTTGTGGGCTGAAATCGCCGGAGGAACCCAGCTGATCGCGTCGTCCTGTCTGCGACGTTAAAGAATTCTTGCGAAGTTGGGGGATCTTCTAAAATACCTCCTGAACAGCTTTTGGTTCTGTACTGAAAGCCTTAGAGTAGTCTTGGGTTAGTTGCTTGTGGTCCTCACGGAGTCAGTCAGTAGGTCAGTGTGTCCGGGTAGGTCTACGTGGTGAGGAGTGGGACCCCTGTCGTGCATCAACACCACGATGGATGACTATCCGATGTTTGGGGTACTTGTTGGGTTCTCCCTCTGGGGGACCCTGTGGCGTCTCCTCTTTCCTCTGAGCTTTTGGCCCACTTTCATGTGTAGAGTAGGGCCCACTCGTGGTGGGACTTCCACCACCCCCTACACGAAGGAGGAGGAGGAGAAGATGGCCGCCCTTCTACAGGAGAAGAAGGAAAAGAAGGAGGCCAAAAAGAGGGCCTTGAAGGATGAGCAAGCGGCCAAACTGAAGAAGATGGAAGAAGAAATGGCCTGAGAGAAAGAGAGGTTGAAAAGGAAGAAGAAGAGAAGCTGAAGGAGGTGGATGAAGAAGAGGAAGGACCGCTACTGCAAAAGAGTAGTGGGCAGCCTAGTAGTAATACCGGTGGAAACCAGACGAAAAGGATATCTGAATGGGTTGCCAACTTGACTGTGGGAGAAGAGGAAGAGGTTAGTATGTACATCCCGCAGGATCAGCAAGAAGCCGCCATGAAGGCTTGGGAGGCAGAGAAAGACCCTCTTAAACGCCAAGCGTTGGAAGACGAGAAGAAGATGGAATGGAAATTAGCGGTGATGAGGGAGAAGAAGAGGAGAATTGACAAGGCAACGGAGGCGGCAGAGGACTTAGAAGAGGTGAAGAATAGAGAGGCGCAATTAGCCGCCCAGCCCGATCTCCCAAATCAGATGCGAGTCATAGCTCGGAGCATCGCATGCCTGGCACGGGTTCAGGCAGACCAATATGACTTTAGCAGAAGTCAGGACATAGCTGTGCGCTCGATACGATTGGGCTTTCGAGACTTTGCCCGTGAGCTGGTAGGCGCCGTTGGAGTCGAGGTGGGTCACCGCCTCGACAAGACAGAGCGGTTTTGCGTCGGCGCCATTGAAGGCGTTAAGGCGGCAGCTCCCAAGGAGGAGGAAGCACGTCCTCCTCGCCGGGAGCCTGTCAAAGTCAAGTTTCCCGATTCCTACAGCGGGAGGAGGGAAGAAAACTTTGGTAATTGGGAGGCCAACGTTAAGACCTATGTGCACTTGCAACAGGTCTCCCTAGATCAGCAAGTCTTAATCGCTATTCACGCGCTGAGAGAAGAGGCCGCCAGTTTTGCAAGGTCCCTAGTTCGCTCTGCTAACTGTAGTGACGATCCAGTTGCATACTCGTAATTTACGTCCCTCACCGAATTCCTGAAGTTGTTGCGCGAGCGATTTGCAGATGTCGCTCGCAGTGTCAGGGCTTCAGATAAGGTCCAAACCATCCATTCTCATAAATGGAAGAGTGCGAGGGCACTCAAGGGTACAATGGATGAGTTGGTAGCCGTCCCTGACCATGGGGTCACCGAGGGTCAGTTGGTCAACCTCTTTTACCGGGCTATGCCCGAAGCCTTTCGAGGGCAGTTCTTCGCGAAGAGCGAAGACCCTGCCACCACTTACGATTCCCTTAGTCGTGAGGTGGTGGCTTTTGAAGCAAAGTCAGTGTCCCTGTCTACCTTCTGCCACAAAGATTTGGACAGGGGTAAGCAATGGAAAGGCCACACTATCTCAGGACAGGTAAAGACCAAGGATAGCCTTGTCCTGACTTTAGATGAGGGTAGTGTGGATGAGATTCCCTACGATGAGATTGAGTGGGGATTAGAGGAGCAGGACAGCGGTGTGGGCCAAGGGAGATCTTACGCTGCTGTCGCGGCTGGAGGGAGGCCGCAAGGAGGAAGAGGCCAGGGCCAAGGGGGTCGGGCCTCAGGTAGTCGATTTCAGGGCGATCAGGGGGTTGGCGGTAGAGGAGGAAACCGCAAAGCGGGAGGCAGGGGTCAAGGTCCCCTGCAAAACCGTCCTTGGAATAGGGCTCCCTATAGAATAGGAGGATGGCACCCAGGGCTACCTCAGGGTAGGCCTTGGGAATCTTTGGGTCTGGACCAAGCTTTATGGCAACAACGATTGGACCGAGGCCAGTGCATTTTCTGCAGTGACCCAGCTCATATCATCAAATATTGTCCTAAGTATAGAGAGACCCGAACGGCTGCCCCAGGGCCAAAAGACAGCCGCCGGTAAGGGTAGCAACTGCCCCTACCATTAGGTCATGTGGGGAACATAGCGCTAGCCGACAGGAGACTCCCACACCACATGTGCCTATGGCAGAGGTTGCAGGCCGGTGTCTAGATAGCTGTCCCGAAACTGCTTGTACTAGAGTTTCGCTAGACACCTCCCTCACAGGCGTGGCCGAAGAATTGAAAGAGAGGATGCCCGCCTGGGCCAAGATGAAGAAGGAGAATAAAGGGCAGCTTATATTGCTAGATACAGAGATTTTTAGAAGTAGAGTAGGGGCCCTAGTAGATGCAGGGGCCACCCGCAGCTATATTAGTAAGAAAGCGCTGGAGAAGTTGAGGCTGGGACTTAAAGTCCAGAAACTCACCGACCCCATAGTTAGTATCCTCGCAGACAATCGTACAATGGTTGTAGAGGAGTATGTAGAGGAGTGTAGGCGTATTTCTGCCTAGAAAAGGAAGGGTAAGTGGAGAAGGTTCTCCACTCCCTGACTCTCCTCGTAGAAGACAGCCTCCCATTCGACATTATTATGGGAATGGATTGGGGAGAGGCAGCCGGGGTGACGCTCCATCTGAAGGAGCACGAGTGTAGGCTCCCTAGTTCCTCAGGCGAGGCTAAGACTGTCCGCCTGTTCCATGTGTCAGGGGTAGAGAACTCCTTGGCGCATTGCTGCCTGAGTGACCCCGCGTTCGCCAGACTAGTGAAGAAGGAGAAATTGAACGAGCAAGTCTTTGTTGCCTATGTGGGGCCAGCAACTGAGCCTACGGAAGAGAAACCGATGGACCCTGCGATTGCCAAGCTGCTGGAAGAGTTCAAGGACCTAACCGAGCCGCCGATAGGAGTGGTACCGCGACCCATCCAGCACCGTATTGAGATAGAGCCTGGCAGTAGGACTCCTAAGGGCGCTGTATATAGGATGTCCCCACGGGAGTTAGATGAGTTTCGCAAGCAGTTAGACGAGCTCCTCGAGAAGGGTTGGATTAGGCCCAGTTCGTCCCCTTTCGGAGCGCCTGTTCTCTTTGTTCCTAAGAAAGAGGAAGAGTTGAGAATGTGCATAGACTATAGGGGTCTGAATGCTATTACAGTGAAGAATGTTGAGCCACTGCCGAGGATAGACGATCTTTTAGATCGAGTGCAGGGGGCCAAACATTTCTCTAAGGTAGATTTGAAGTCTGGATATCATCAAATAGAGGTACATCCTGATGATCAGTATAAGACAACTTTCTGGACTAGGTACGGGCATTATGAGTTTATAGTGATGCCCTTTGGACTAACCAATGCGCCAGCTACGTTCCAACGTTGTATGAACGATTTGTTTAGGCCATGGTTAGATAGATTTG